TTTTTTTTTTTTTTCCTTAAAAACTGATAGGACAGACAAAGTTGTGATTAGAGTTTAAATTTTGTCTGTGCCACTTAGAACTTTATGGCACTGAAAATGTTGCTTTACCTCTCTGGCCCTCAGTTCTTAGAGTTATGGATTCTGTGATCCTTTTAGCTGTTTTTATAGCATTTCTTTGTTTCTTTTTGTTATACCTGTTGAGGATTTTGTTTCATTTCTTTTTGTTGTTTAGGGGAAAGGTGTATATAACTTATTTTGGAAGATATTATGCTTGTCTAAATTAATTTAACATCTTATATGTTCCCGTGATGTTTTAGTAGAACATGTAGCATGTATACTTTGCCTTCTTAACAATGTTAAAATGCTAAAACCTTCTTTTACAGAGAAGCATATGCAATTGGGAAGAAAGAAAAACCTCCCTTCTTACCAGAGGAACCATCTTCTTCCTCAGAAGAAGATGATCCTATCCCAGATGAATTGTTATGTCTCATCTGCAAAGATATTATGACTGATGCCGTTGTCATTCCCTGCTGTGGAAATAGTTATTGTGATGAATGTAAGAAATGCTGAACATTGGAAGATGTGTATTTTAGAATATTTATATTTACTTGGAAAGGCTATTACCAACATTGTGTGTTTTAATAATAAAATATGAAGTGTTGATAGTGTTGATCAATGAGCATTCAGTAATGAGAAGTCTGTTTTTGTTGCTACAACTTTTTTAATCTGTAGCCTCTTTGTCCTTTTAAGTGTTAGAATTGACCACTTCCTTTACCTTCATAAGGATTACTATACTGAGATTTTTTAAAACACTGGATTTTTATTTCCTGTATATTTTAAATGGTTTACAGAATTTTTAAAACCCATTGGGCCTTAGATAATTCTGGAATTTTAATTTTTTTTTTTAGTGGCTGGCTGGTATAGGGATCTGAACCCTTGACCTTGGTATTAACACTGCACTGTAACCAACTGCACTAACTGGCCAGCTCTGGAAATATTTTTGTGATAACTAAATCCCTTTCTTGGATTGTGAATAATAGCTTACTCTAAAATTCCTAAGTTTAAATAAGACCTGCTTCCTGTAAACATATTACCCAACATTTGCCATGTGGTCATGATTTTTTTTTTAAATCACTTTTATTAGCACTTAGCTTTTCCCTGCCACTTATCC